GTAAAATTAACAATAAAGTATGATTTAATAATATGCGATTAAACTTTGTAAATGTGTTAAACTTTAGTAATTTTATCTTAACACCATAAAGCATGGCATTAAAAACCGATTAAACTTACTTTTCAGTTTTGTATTTTTTACTAAATGTGTGGCAATAAGAACTATAATTTTGAAAACTCACTTTTTTCACATAAACGATAATATTGCCATATAAATGATTTAAATATCGTATATTTTGGTTTTATTAATCAGAAATTCCATTTACATGCAATAGGGTAAATTTCTCAGAATTTTTCTCCGTGTAATATTAAATTTCAGTTTTGTTCAGGTATGCAAACAGTTCAGTTCAGATATGCAAACTGAACATTGCATAAAAAATTAACCTCTATAATATCGATGAAATTAAGTAATATAAATCTTATATGCCTTAGTATTTAAATACATACTTGAGTGGAATATTTGTAATGTAAATAATATAATTTTTGAAAGTAAATAATAATAATATAATTTTCGAAATGTCATTTTTCAAATATAATAAAATAATTAATAACAATATTATAATTTTTAAAAGTAGTTGATACATTTCTACAGTTAATTGAGCAAATAAAAAAATATTTTGTTTCAGACTTTTTAAATAAACTACTTTTTAATGGAAAAAAAAATTATTAAAATATTTATTATCTCTTGAATTTGATTAAATAATATATTATACTAAGTGTTTCTCCTCAACCTTGATTTTGTTTCACATCAGCAAAATCGAAACATGTAAAAAGCCTTTTAAAAACCTTTTTATGATAAACTCTTTACAGTTTTTAATGTTTTAAACATAAGTTTAAATTTTTTGATATTTTAGGTGATAAAAAATTTCTTCATTCGTCTTTTATTAATTTTACTGCTCAGTAGTTTCAAAAAAAAAATCAGCGATTAAAAACGGAAAAAACATATAACTGAAATTGAATTTATATTAAAATAGCACGAAATGCTTGAAAGAGCAAAAAGATTTGTTAATAAATATACTTTAGTAAGTACAAATATATACATTAAAGTCTTTTTTACGTATTCTTCATCTACGTTCATCAAATTTAAACAATCTAACAAAAATCAAAATCTACAGAATAACTAAATAATGAACTGTTTCCGTTCCTGTCTTCTTCAAACACTACTTTAAATTAAGTTTCTCTTTCAGCACTCGCAGTTCTATTTAACAAAATGCGATAAAGCTTCTAGCTTCTACTTTTATAACATTTGAAAAACCGAAGATAATTTATAAAATCGTAGCAGGAAGCAACGAAGCAAATTACGAAGCAAAAAAAGGTTATAAAACCAAAATGTTAAAACTTCATTTTTGGATGGCGAGATTTCTTTTGGAAGTTTATGTTATTCTCAAAGCCCTTAAGAACTTTTGCTTGTTTTCATTAAACCCCGAAAACAACTTTATCGAGATGGCTTTATTTACATTAGAACTCCCGTAGTGACATTTTATAAGATCGTAAAAATTTTACTTTAAGAAGTAGCTTACTTCTTAGGCAAACAAACCTTGAAAAAACTCAAAATTGAGTGGGAGTGTGGTATAAAGAATGGATGCTTGGGTAAACTAATGTTGATAAAAGAGTTCTTTGACTTGGGATGATTTTTCTGAGCAAAATTTCTAATTAATTTTTAAAAGAAATCTTTAAAGATTTTTGTTTACCATTCACCTAAATTATTTTATTAGCTACTTTCAACTCTTTTTGGAAGAATTAATAAAATGACTCTAAGGAAATTTGTGATTCAATTTGAAAGCTCACAATTTTTATTGTAGAATATCATAAAACACCACTTCTTCATAAGTCACTTGTATGAAACTATGCGCAGTAAATATCTAATAAAAATGACTTTTATACCGGTATTTGTTACAGCAATCTTCGGTAACTTAAAATCATCATGTTGTATGAGATTTTTAATTAATTTTCATGCTTAAGTAACACTTGTTCAACTTCAAATCTTCTATGAATCGCACTTAAATAAGAAATAAAATAAATTCATGCAAGAATATAATATTTCTAGCATTTTTTTCTTCTGATCTTTAAACTATGTTTGTTTTTTGTGAATGTGTGCGTTAATTAATAGAAAAGTACTCTATTTTACGCATTGTTGGTCACCGCTTAAGTAAAATATGTATATCCCGAAAAATCTCAATATCGAGTGAAATATAAAAATTTAAGTGCAATAGTACACACATATTTTTCATGTGTTTAATTTTCCTTTATTTATTTTATATTTTTATCTGAATTTCAACACAGTTTTTTTTAAAGTAATATTATCTGAACGAAAAATTCAACTTGAAGCTGTACGAAGTTTAAGTGCAAAAGAGAGTTTAGGTACAAAAAAGAGAAAAGAGAAGTTTAGGTACAAAAAAGAGTTTTTGAAAACAGGCCTTTGTTTTTCACAATTTATAGAAAATGAATTTTTTTTATTCTTTAAAGTACTTTGAAAAGTTTCAGTTAACTTTATTTTCCACACTTTATTCCTCTAATTATTTCTATAATTAGTTAACATTACTTCTTATCTAGTTTCATTTCAATAACATGTTGTTTTAATCATGAAACTTTTGAAATTACATATAGAAACGTTTTATTAGAAACGTTAGATATTAGAAACGTTTTGTTTCTTGTAGCAAAGCAGAAATTTTTTTTAACCAGATCCTTTCAGAATTTTTTTATTTGATTGGAAATTAATGTGCATGTTTAGCTGCAAATATTTATTTGAAGGAATGCAAATGTTCTAAAGACTATTCTATTTTTCAATTATTTGAAGAGATAGCATCAGTGATATTTACCAACTTATAGCTCCGTTTAATTACAAAAAGAGTACGTTAATATTCAGTTTTTTTTCGCTATGTCAACTAAATTCAATTAAATACATTATAGTGAGGGAGGAAGAACTATGTCACCAAATTAGTATTCCGAAAGTTATCTGAGGATATAATATTTATTTTATTTTTAATAATTCTGTAAAACTAAGTAATTTAAAATCGACGGTAATTGAAACAAAAAAAATATTCGCCAATGGTGCTTAGTTAATTTTGGTAATAGGCACTACTGGTGTTATGGTAATTGAAGCAGTTTAAATTGGTACCAAAGACACTAATATAGGTACAATGTCATAACATATTAATACATTTGATGCCTGTTAAAAGACTGTCAATCCTGTGCAGTTTTAATACGCCTACAGTGGAAAGAGTTTTTTTTTCGAGGTCCTTAGACCCTTGAAAGAGAATAAGTAGTGGACAAAATTGCTTGATTGTGGTAAATTTTGACTGTCATGAGTAGGCCTCGAGAAGCAACGTCAAGCTAAATGATATAGTTAATCTCTATTTTGTTGAGATGAGATACTAAAAATGTGTTTGCTTAATCTAATAACGTAAAGCTACCGATAAGGACAAAAAATAATTCGAAATATATTAAATTATAAATGCATTGGTATATGTTTTTCAGTTTTGAGCATGATTTCGTAGAATTTTTAGGTACAGACTTGTTGTTTATGACTTTATATAGGACGGTAATCGTAAAACTATGAAGGACGACACAGAAGGGACAGAAATAAACAAATAAATAATGGGGAGGGGGATAGTAGTTATTTTGGAAATGGAAATAAACACAAATATCTTTACTATAGTTTAATAAATTATGGAACCTAATATAGCATGTGATAAAATTAGCTTACATAATGGGAATTGCAGGTTTTTAATATAATACGTACGACCTCGAAAATCCGGACTTCTGAAATCCGGAAATCTCTAAAATCCGGACTCATGTGTCCAGTTCCTCAAAAAAAAATTTCAAAAGAATAAATTTTAAAAAAATTGCTTAAAATAAAATTTTTAATGCAAAACCACAACTCTTCTCCAACAATGAAGCAGTAGATGAAGAGGTAGAGGTGGGGTGTGAATGAAAGCTCATAGGTGATGAGGAAATTCCAGTCATTCTTATCAGCTCTGTATGGATAACAAAGAATATAAAGGGAAATCCCCTCTTCCTGAAGGGGAATCCCACAACTCTTTTGCAACAATGATGAGGTAGAGGTGGGGAATGAATGAAAGCTCATAGCTGATAAGGAAATTCCAGTCATTCTTATCAGCTCTGTATGGATAACAAAGAATATAAAGGGAAATCCCCTCCTCCTGAAGGGGAATCCCACAACTCTTTTGCAACAATGAAGCAGTAGATGAAGGGGTAGAGGTGGGGTGTGAATGAAAGCTGATAGCTGATAAGGAAATTCCAGTCATTCTTATCAGTTCTGTATTGATAACAAAGAATATAAAAGGGAATCCGCTTCCTCCTGAAGGGGAATCCCCTCAGAAGGAGGAATTTTTCCATCTTCTTGTTTTCCCCCCTTGAGATGAAAGAAAACTGGTTCTTTCTTAACCTTGAAGCTTAGGAGGCGGGGACAAGTTCTTTCATCCCCCAACAAAAAAAGGATTAGTATCAGCTGGTACAGTCTAGTCTAGAAGCATCTGTTTCGGTTATAAGTTGAAATTCAGATCGCGTTTTAAGCCTATATTTTTTGTTTTAATTGCTAATATTATGTCATCTAAACGATCGATTGCGGGAGAAAATGACAAAAGTTTGATTTTTAATGTCTTTTATTTATTATTTAAAGAGTATGTTTATGTTAAAATTGACGTCGGAGGTCTACACAAGCGTGATTAATCGCGAAATCGGCCTGGCGAATTCGAAACTTCGATAATTCTATCAATTCAAGTGAGGTATCTAAAATCCGGAATTTTCGGAAATCCGGACCTTCCAAACCCCCCAGCAGTCCGGATTTTCGAGGTTGCATGTATTGCAATTTGAGAAACAATTATGCCATAAAATTTAAAATTACCAATTTTTTCTTTACTTTAGTTAATAAAAACCTATTTTGAAAAATTCTGAATTGTTTTAAAAAAAAGTATTTATAAAAATGAAAATCTTAATTTAAAATATTTTACTATACCGATTTTCTTTTTATATTTTCAGCTATGATTGCACACCGAGCAATGTTACTCTCCCAAAAATATTTGATGAAGGAATGGTAGATAGGCCTTCCGAACATATCAATTGGTAAGTTTTAACATTTTATTAAATTCCATTTATCAACCAATGGTGACTATATTGACTAAAAATAGAACATCAAACAAGAAAGAATTGAAAGTATGACTTGTTATCATACAAAAAAATTGTTGCGTTTCAGGTCATCCAAAATACGGTTTTTTTAACAACAAAATAATATTTATTTTGCTTTAGTTTGCTTTAATTTTAAAGGGCGTGAACATTTTCTTTTATATTTTAAATAGATAGTTTGGCCAGGATAACATAGTTGGTAGGGAGTTGGGCCCATGACCAATATATCGTGAATTCGATCCCCACCTGCCAAAGACTCCACGTGTACGCGTAATAAATGTTGTCGGGTCACAAAGTCCTCCATGATCCTTAACAAATCCTACCTCTGGGAGTTCTGAATTGGAGATTGATTATTCTCCATATGGCTCAAATCAAACTTATGATCTGTGGGTGAATGCATGGATGTATGAATGGGTCCGCCCTATAAACGGGCTATGACTAGTATGTGGCCAAAGTCGGACTCTTGGCCATAGATGACGTCACTGAAAAACAAGAAATGCATCTGCCTTAACTGCACCTAGAAGGCTTGCTGGCTTTAACAAATGGCACTGAAAAAAATATATACTTTTTTGGATACTGTATTTAAATTAATGTGGTACAAATTGTGACTTTTAAAAAAAAAATTAAAAATTTTTTTTACTTACTTTATTTAAAGACATAATTTGAAAGATGTAAAACTATTTTTTTATAGAAATTTATTAAAATATAAATTCGATAACACAGCAATGAAAACATCTTTAAACCAATCGTGATCAAAATCACACAAACTTTCAATGCAAAACTCCGAAACCAAGTGTTCAAAAAATGAATTTGTTGTTGCTTGAGACCATTAAGTGATTTTTGCAGTTTTGATCATTGTTATTACGTAAGTTTTCAGAAGTTATTCTCAAGATATAATTTTGAAACTCAATTTGTTAAAATTAACGCTAACATAAACACTAAATTGCTAACAAAAGATAATACAATAAAACTAATCCATATTTCAGATACTTAATATATGCAAAGGATACTTTAAATCTAATAAAATCTTTAAATCCAAATAATTAAATCTAACAACTTTTACTTTAATTCGTACATCAGTGATTTTTGATTGACCAAATTACAAAAATCATGATTTTTTTTATCTTCTTATCCATTATCCTCACTATCAAATTTAACTTTATTAAAGAGGTGTTGCTTATTTTTGTTAGAAGTGCATTTGTCCATATTTATGGAAAATGATAAGAAAATCCATTAATTTTTATTTGGTAAGTCACATTTCATATAATAAATTGGATTTCGCAAACGCGAAAAACAAAATAAGGACACATCAGAAACTGTATTATGATTAAATGTCAAAGCTTTTATAAACCAAATAAATAATGAACTATGGTAAGGCCTATAAAGGAAATACCGTCCTTTAGTCTGGTTTATTAGTCGCGAATCATAATGAAAATATTCTAGGCATTATTTGAACTCTTTTTATATAATCCCTTTTTTACCAGTTCATGAAATAGTGCATGTTAGAAATAAAATATTCGTTTATCGTCTGAATACATTACACTACAATAATAGACGAGACACTTACAGTTTCTGACATTTTTGTCAAATTTCTCAAGAAATACTAACAAAAATTATTTTATAGAGAACCTTAGAAGTTCGATTCGTCATTCTAAGCATGTCATGCGCTTTTTCATACTTATCAATAAAGTTTAAAGCTGTCGGAGATTTAAGGGGCCGATAACAAATTACGGACGGAAAAGAGTGATCGCGAACACCTTCTGCCAAAAAGTAGCAAATAATTTTGTAACTTGTATCGATTAATTTATATTCTATAAAGGTATAAATATTCGTATTGCTAACTTAAATATTTTGAAGATTCGGACATTATTAAATGAAATTGATCTTTTTGCCTTAAGTTTTCTTACGATAAATATAAAAATTTCCAATAAAATTATTTCAAAAAAAGTTGGAATAATTTTAAATTATTGCAGAAATACCGTTTTAAAATTCGAAAATAATTCTTTAAAAATTGCGCAAGATCTGTGCATTTAAAGCAGTCTTTTCTACTGTGCATGCGCAAAACAGATTTAAAAAAATAAAATTTATAACATTGTTGTCAATTGTATTTTGTAACTTATGAAAAAAGTCCGATTTTGATGTCTTGAAAATTTTAAAAGTTTCAAGCAATTTTTTAAGTAAGGGTTTGGCAGGGTTTTAAATTTACTATGCATTATCTTATGACCAAGAAACGCAGAGCAGTGTGATATAGTCACTTAGATACCTTTTAGCTTTCTGAATCACAGATTGTTTCATCTAACAATGGTTGCAATCTGGCTTCGACTGCACGGAGAAGAAATTTCTGGTAAAATTACCATACTGTATGGTGATCTAATTTCTGGTAAGAAGGGCTATAATTCTGGTTTATAAAACCAAAATATACCGTATTTAAGCCATTCACATGGTAACGGTTAACCGCAACTTCTGGTTTTCAAAGCTATAGTTTTTATTACTACATATTTAATAAAAAATACAAAACTGAAATGTAAATTTAACCGAATAAATGATTTTTAGGACATGATCTGAGATATCATAATAAAATTACAAACTTTTATCACATATAACAAACACATTTTTTATTGTTAATTTTACCAAAAATTCATCAACAAAGCACTTCGGTAAACATTACCTTGTTTTTTTATGTTCTCATAGAATCAGAAACTCGGTTAATTTTACCATATTCTGGTAGTTTTGACCGTAGTTTTTTCTCAGTGTACTAACACCACATCACAACGAAGGTTTCTTGCAGTCATAACATATAGTATTTAAGAGTTGCTCTTAATAACGCTGTTATAAATAGATGTCGAACTTACATATGTTGAACTAGCATAGCATGAATTCATTTAAAGTGTAACAGCTTCTAGTGTGAAATAAATAAATACTCTTAACGTCAACATTTATTTAGGAGTCAACGTCAAGAGACTGATAATTGCTAAAAATAATTCGTGTGGGCTTGACAAAAAAAAATTTTTAATTGATATGTTTCTTTTTTATCGTTCCATTTATAGAAATGCCATCTTACGCTGCAAGGGGAGCTTTCCTATTATGGATATGTTGTTCGTGGGCCTTTGAACTTGAACTTTTCTTATTTTAAAATATTTTAATTTCGTCTTAATTTTATATTACTATTATTTTTCCATATTTTTTATAACGTCGTTGACCGGCTGACCCAATATAAGGTTTATGACTACTAATGTGCAACTCTGTAGCCTTGTAATTTTGAACACAATCCAGAAGACAAGGGAACACCTGGATCAAGTATTGGGAGAAATTTGCCTTCTTGGAGGACTTTTTGATGAAACTAACCAGCATTTGCATTACATGGAGAGGAAAACTACGGACACCTTCCATGGTTATCCAGACGGCGAAAACTATAACCCGTGATTCGTTTACCCGTGATTCGTTAAGATATTTTACGTCAGAACTGTGGTATGTGCGAACCGGCTGCGGAATTCGTATCGCCCAGCCATTGCTGGGATGCGAACCCGGTTACCTCATTTAAAGGCGGAAGCTCTATCTCCTGAAACACCATGGCTCTTATGTTAGTTATTGTCAAGAATTCTATTAAAACAGGCTCAGAAATGCTGTTTTATCGTATTTTAATGATTAGGCGAGCTTGCCCAGTTAGTCCCCTAATCATTAAATTTCGATAAACCAGCTAATACTGTACCTATTTGTAAGCATATTTTGGCAATAGTTAATTGAAAGCTAAAAATCAAGATAATTCAGATAAATAGTAAAAGTACCTGATGTTCAAAAGCACAGGATGTAACGGTAGATAATAGGAAAGAACCCTTCGGAGCATACGATAACATTCCCGGGAATAGTTTCTTAGGTATTCTTAAGGTCTTAGTAATTCTTTAGGTATTCTTAATCCTTATGATGTGCCCTACTTCCCCTAGGAGTTTATTGCAACCTTTACGGGACACCATATAAAAATAATTTCAATTGATTTTATGTAAAGAGTTCTGAAATAAAAGAGTTTCTGTTACAGTAATTTCATTATCTTCTGTAAATCAGAAATTCAAAATCCCTTCAGTGCAACAATCAATTACGTAAGAATTTTTTTTTTTATTTCTTTGGGGAATACCAAAACAATATCGTTTTATAGTATTTGTTCAAGATAAATTCTGAAGTCCACATGACATGCTCGTAAAAGTCAGAAAGTCAAAACAAAGTGTATATTTTATGAGTCTTTTTGTGTGGCAGGAGTAAATTTTGTAAGATCGGAAAACAGATTCTTTTCTTGAAAGAGGCAGAATAAAACAAATAAAAATTGTACAATATGAAGTAAATGACCTCTAAACTAGATTTCTTTTATTTAAATTACTGAATTATGTAATGATTTAATTTAATAATAGGTCATAAACAATTATGCATAAAAAATCAACGTTAGATATTGTTTACATTTTAAATAATTGTACACACATCCGAAATTATTAAACTTAATTTTAAAAAAATATACACACAATCAATTGCATACATTTTGACAGTTTTCTAAAGTAACTCGAAAAATGTGAATTGATAAAAAAATGGAACTATAGTGCAGAACTTTTTGGTTCAAAACTGCAATAGAACTTTAAGAAATACAAGATGTTTTGGGTGAAATAATCACATAATTTTTTTTAAATAAATGCATAGATTTAACTTAAATAGAATTTTAATTCAAATAATAGTACATTTAATGAGTAATGGTAGGATAATTATATTTCAGGTTACTTAAATTATTTTTTATGGAATATAATCATTGAATTAATGAATGATTGATTTAATTTTGTCTTTTCTTGAATTATTTTTCTATTCTTTTCCAATAACAGTATCGAACAATATCATTGTAGAGATACTTGATTCGGGTCTAATATCTTTCAAACTCATCAACTTTTTGATATAGTCATATAATT